CTCTCCTTCTTTCTGTTGACCTGATCTGCTTTTCCAATAAAAATAAATAAATTTTTAAAGACATCTTGAACAAAAAAAGTCATTGAGCTGAATGCTTACCCCTCCACCAACTTAAAAAAAATTATTTATGGGCTTGGCATGGTAGCCTAGTGGCTAAAGTCCTCACCTTGAACGTGCCAGGATCTCATATGGGTGCTGATTCTAATCCCAGCAGTCCCACTTCTCATCCAGCTCCCTGCTTGTGGCCTGGGAAAGCAGTGGAGGACGGCCCAAAGCCTTGGGACCTGCATCCACGTGGGAGACACAAGTGAAGCTCCTGGCTCCTGGCTTTGGATCAGCTCAGCTCCAGTTCTTGTGGCTGCTTGGGGAGTAAATCAACAAACGGAAGATTTTCCTCTCTGTCTCTCCTCTCCTCTCTGTATATCTGGCTTTGTAATAAAAATACATACATACATAATTTGCTGATGGAGGTCTTCCGCTTGCTGTTTCTCTGCCCAGCGTAGCAGGCCTGACTTTGTTCTCGGCCCATCTTCCTCGGCCTCCCCGAGGGTGCTGGCAGGGAGCTGGACGGGAAGCGGCCAGGACTCTGAAATAGGATGCTGGTGCTGAAGCAGTGGCTTAACCTGCGCTGCTGCCCTGGCCCTTCAACCAGCTTTCTCATGTCGCTTATACACAGGGCAATGGAGAGCACAGTCCAGCAGACCAACAGATGCACATGTGCAGATATGCACACACGTGCACACATGTGCACACACTGTATCTGCATGTGTCTGTGCATGTATGTGTGTCCACACGTGTATATGCACAAGTGTGTGGGCAAAGCGCCCGCCATCCTGGGTGATGCTCACTGGTCAGCAAGGCTAACCCCAGGCCTTTGGCTGCATCCGGTCTCTTGCGCCCACAGCGGCCTGTGCAGGTACTGCTCTGGACCCCCTGCACATCACAGGGAATGCAGGAACACATTTCCGGTATTCCGACCCTCAGTTCTGGGTGTCTCCCAGGCGAAGTGCTGGCCACTGGGAGGCAGGTGTATGCCCGCCAACTGCAAACAGGAGGGTGACGGCGTCCACGGCCACATTGGGGTGATTCAGTGGAGTCCATGTGGTCCAGTCCACTCCTGCTTGGGGTCTACAAACCTCATCCCTGTTGTGAACTGCAGACAGGATGTTTGTGGGTGGCGAGCAAGGGTGTCCTGGCTCCTATGGCATGACTAGGCTTGGACCAACAGCCTGAGCAGTTTGGACAAAAGTATATCAGGCAATGGCTCAACTGACTAATTGTCCCCTCGCAAGCGCTGGGATCCCATACAGGCACCACTTCATGTCCCGGCTGATCCACTTCCCATCAGGCTCCCTGCTTGTGGCCTGGGAGAGCAGAGGAGGACGGCCCAAAGCCTTGAGATCCTGTACCCATGTGGGAGACTCTGAAGAAGCTCCTGGCTCCTGGCTTCAGAATGGCTTAGCTCTGGCTATTGCAGCCACTTGGGGAGTGAACCAGCAGAAGGAAGATCTTTCTCTCTGTATCTTTCCCCTTCTCTCTGTAGACCTGCCTTTCCAACAAAAATAAATTAATGAAAAAATAAAAATAAGCAAAGCTAAGTATATTGAGGCATGGGTTTCCCCCTCTCCCTTGCCACAAGTGAGGCCAGCATCTTGGCTGTGATGGAGTCTGCTGGGACCCTTCTGGTCCACAACCAGCTCCTGCCAGGGGACAGTGCATCCTGGGGAGCCTGCCTGGGACACTGCCCTGTCAGGGGAAGGACCCCTGGCCGGGACCAGAACGACCGGTCGGTTGGCACCTTCTGGCTGGCTGGGATGTCCCCACATAGAGCTCAGAGCGTGTCTTGCCAATTAGTCAGCAAGAGGAACAGCCAATGATGTGGCATGCAGGGGCTGGGGTGGGCTCACAGCTATACCCCGACTCCCGTCCTCACTGGCCACAACTCAGAACAAGCACCATCTACCAGGAGTTGGCAGAGTCTGGGCGTCCAGGGTGGGAAGCAGGAGTCATTGGGGCCTCCTCCCAGGCACTTCTGAGGGGCACCCCCACCTAAAGATGCAGGGCCATCTCCCTTCCAGGTGCACACCAAAACCCTGCAGGTCAGCAAGGGCAGAAAAATCCCCTCTCCTGCTGCATGGCTCAGCCTGGTCAACCCCTAGAAGCAGCAAGCCTGCTTCCCCCTGCTCTCCACTTTGCTGCCATGCTCCAATGCCTCCTCCCTGGACACACAGTCCCCCCAACAAAGGCACCACTCCCCGTTCCCCCCTCAAATGGCCACCTACAGGCGCGTCCCAGCAGGTCCAGCCCCCCCTCTGCTCACAGGGCTCTCCCCTCAGCCCACGGCAGCCTGCGCGAGTTTAGCTGCTGCATCCCCACGGATGCGCTTCTCGTGGAGAAAGCGAATGAAACAGACAGCAGTGTAGGGTCCTGCACACAGCGGCACGGGGGGGCCTGTGACAGGTAACGGGCACTGCCGGCACAGGATCCCCTAATTACAGGACATACATACACACGGGCCGAGAACGCATGCGTACCTACAGCAGCAATGTTAACACTGCACACAGAGTGATAACGGAGCAAAGCTTTCATGCCAGTAGTAGCACATGCGCGGCGTGTTGTGGTTTTCCTGCACGAGGCATGCAACACGAGCAGCAGCGTACATGCACACATGGAGCCGAAAGCCGCAGCGGGAACACGCACACAGGCTTACGTGGACTGTTCTCGCTGCTTCTCGCTGCGGATGGCGACGCCACAGGGGACAGCTCCATTGGAGTGAGGGAAGCCCGGCCGGGCAGAGACAAGCCTGTTGGGGTGGGGTGGGGGTGCAGGAGAGGGCTCGGAAGCCTGTGGGACCCTCCAGAGACATGCCACTCCATGCCCTGTACACATTCTGTCGCAGGGAGGAATGAGGGTTTTTCTAGAAAGAGCCAGAGAGGAACCATCTCGGACTGAAGTTTGTGACCGGAGGCAGAAGTGGTCAGAGTAACGGGCAGGGCTGTGATGTGACACGATACAGAAAGACACAGCGTGGTGGGGACAGCTCCGTGGGGACAGATCCGCCGCTGTCCCAGGACAGGCCTGTGGCCAATGCGGGCACCGACCACTCACAGTCCATTCTGCCCTTGAGCTAAGGCAGCCGCTCCTGCCCTCACTCGCTGCTTGGCCTGGCCACCTCCACCCCTGGCCGACACGGGTCTTGCCCCCTCCCACCACCTCAATCACAGTGGGTGAACAGGTGCTTGTCCAGCTCCTGGCTGACTCTTTGACCTGAGGATGAGGCCAGGTGCACAGGTGTGGGATATGCCCCACCCCTGCTTCTGTGTCTGGTGCTGTTGGGAGCCATTGGCACTGAGCAACCTGTGCCTGGCCACTCAGTGTCACAGTGGCTGGCACAGAAACAGCCTGTGTGTCCCCCTGGGGGGGGGACTATGACCAGCAGGGAAAATGCTGAGGGGGAGACATGGCCAGGCAGGACTGGAGAGCTGGGACCCGTGGAAGACACCCGGGAGGGGAACGGAGGGGTCTGATAAGGCCCGACCATTCTCTGCCGACAGGACCAGGGATGGGGCAGGCCACACTGCTGAGGCCATGTCTGTGTGTGTCACCCAGCACCCTGTGAGACCCACTGTTGGGGCAGGATGGGTGGCTGCTGGGACCACTGGCACAGAACAGAGAGGATGCCATGATGTGGGTTGGGGGGGCCCTCTCGCTTTTGAATCAAACAATACAGGAAACACGTTTTCTCCAAGGTGGGTGGGGACTGTTTAAAGAACATTTAGAAAAAAGAAGGAAAAAAAAAAAAGACTCATGAGTTTGAAGACACTACCTTCAGTCATAAGTTTATTCTAGCCCTGCCCCGGCCCGCCCCACACCAGACCACAAAGCCACCCGAGTTTAGCTGGCAGGAAACCAGAGCCGCGACGGGGTGTGCGTGGGTGGGGGGTGTCTGTGGCCCAGACTTCCCATCCTCCATCCCACTGGTGTGACCCAGAGCAGATGACTGTCCCTCCCCGACTCCTCACCAGTGTAAGGCACCTGGGACGGCGGCCAGCATCCAGCAGCTCACCAGCGCTCAGGGACTCTATCAGTTTAGAACAGTGACTGCTAGCTAGGGATGGGATGTAGTAACCATGGAAACCAGGCACTGAGGCCACTCCTCTGGCTCCACCCAGCCCCTTCCTGTGCTGGGCTCTTCCCCTCACTTCCTCCCTCAGACCACTCCCAGCCTCTCCATCCCTTCCAGCAAGGGTGAAGAGGCTGTTTCTGAGCCTGGTGCCCCACCTCTACTGGAGCAGGTCCTGGCATCCCACTGGCCTTAGCTCTGAGCCCCCACACATTGCCCCTACAGCTTTGTGGAAACCGGCCCAGGTAGGAGGCATGCGCCTGTTTACTCAATGCCACGGTCGGTCTCCATGCAGTCTGGGGCTGTGCTGACCCCCACCTCAAGGCTTCCGTCCATCCATCCTCTGCACCTAGTGCCTGAGTGGCCAGGACGTCGTGGCCATGCCCTTAGCTTCCCTGGGGGGGCCTCAGTTTCCCTAACCTGGGCAGAAGCCCCTGGTACGAGCCCAGGCCCCCTCGCAGGCGCTCGCCTCACTCTAACAGGCGCTAGGCTGGGTGTGGAGGCCGCTGTGGTTCTCAGTGGCATTCCACGATGCCGGGTTCCTGCACACACTGCACTCAGGGATCTGGAGGAACGGCTGGGGACAGACTGGCTTGGCCCTGACCAGGGTCAAAATCCCCACCTTGGCAGGAGACACTGGTGAAGAAGGCCCTGCCCAGTCACGCCTGCAGCTGTGGGCGGGGCTCACAGATACCCCTTGGTCCTCTGCTGACCCCTCCCAGAGCAGGTGCTCAGCTGGGGCTGAACTTGAGTGATCACTGCCCCCTCTGACAAAAGAGGGGTGTCCCAAATCACAGGTGGGTCTTGGAGGGCAAGGGGAAGGCAGCACCCATCAGGTTTCAGGGATTGGGGTGGTGAGTCCAGCTTTTTTTTTTTCTTTTGCCAGAAGAGGTCTCTTGGTGTCCAGCAGGCCAGGACGGAGTAGGTCCCTGTGGTCTGAGGGGGAAGGCGAGCCTTGTAGGTGGTGCCAGTGACTCGGAGCTGGAGGGGTAGCCACAGCTGCCTAGCTTCACCTGTGGGGGCGGCATAACAGAAGACATGTGGCACCCAAGTACCAAGCAGCCTCAAAATCCCCATGGTTTCTGTTGGGCCAGCGCAGGCAGGGTCTGGTGGGGAAGACGGCCAGGCAGGGCACACACAGCCATGTTCAAGTTCAGCTTCAGTAGTCCCCTAGTTCTTAGACGTCGATGGCGCTTGGGGCGGGGACTTCTCGGCTTGGTGTGCTTGCCGCTGGTCGGCGTTGTTGGAAGCGCAGAGCTGGGCGCGCACCTCCTGCACCTGGGCACGCAGCTCGTCCAGCGCGCCCTGCGGCGGTGCCGCTTGCACCTGCGCCTGCAGCGCCTCGAGCGCCAGCGCCAGGTGGCCCACCTCGTCCCGCAGCGCATCCCAGGCGGCCCGCCGCTCTTCCTCCTTGCGATGCTGCTGCGACTGCTGGCGCCAGTACTCCAGGACCAGGCAGCCTCCGCCCACGATGAAGATGGTGGCTTCACCCAGCAGCTCGGCGCCCAGCTCGGCGGCCGCTTCCTCGTTCAGCGGCTTGATGGTTGTGCCCCGGAAGCCCATGATGCGCATCTTGGTCCGCATCTCCACCCAGTGGTACACTGCAGGGGGAGAGAGCCGTCAGGTGCACCCTGGAGCCCAGGCTTCACCTCGCCCATCCTTGCCAGTCCTCACTGTTGCAACGGGTATGAGGTACCCAGGATTGTGGCTGGGGGGGCGGGGATGGGGGGACAAAGTGATGACACTTTAAACAAGACCTGCCCCAGCGTCACCCAGCCTGAGGTGACTGGAGGACACTTCTTAAAAGCGCCATCTGGCCAGCAGCTGGGGATACGGATCACTGCATCAGAGGCCAGGATCTCCCCGGCCAAGTTTAAAGCAGCTGGAAAAGTTCATCTGCCCCCCCCCCCCCGATGCCCCTTCAGCCTGGGCTTGGGGCTGGTCAAGCCGCCCACTTCCCCTTGCACTGCGGCCCCACTCTCCTCCCAGGGGGAAGGTCAACTCCTTTCTTTATTTGCCCAAGTGCAGAGCTGAGTCGCTGGGAGGCAGGAACGGGCAGCTAAGGCAGGAGTCAGTGCCAGGTGCATGTGCGGTCAACAATCCTTTCCGGGCACGTCTGGTGGCTGCAGCTCAGCACCCAGCAGGTGGAGCTAAGGGCTGTGCCAGCTTCGCCAGGAGGTGGCTGTGGTAGTGTATCCTGGAGTGGGTCTGAGGGGAGCACCACTCCTGCTCCAAGGGTGCACGAGAAACGCTGCCAGCAGTAACAGGCTCACACCCGACAGGATCCACAAAGCCTGTGACTGCAAGGTTACAAAATTTACAATGCCCAGAATAGATGCAAGGATCCTGCACAGCCCTAGGAAATGAAGCTGTACATTTTGTGGGGACCAGGGGACGTGGGCCCGGCATGGTAGCCTCATGGCTAAAGTCCTTCCCTTGAATGCACCAGGATCCCATATGGGCACTGGTTCGTGTCCTGGCAGCTCCACTTCCCATTCAGCTCACTGCCTGTGGCCTGGGAAAGCAGTGGAGAACAGCCCAAAGCCTTGGGACCCTGCACCCGCGTGGGAGACCCACAAGAAGCTCCTGGCTCCTGGCTTTGGATTGGCTCAGTTCAGACCATTGCAGCCACTTGGGGAGTGAATCAGTGGATGGGAGATCTTTCTCTCTGTCTCTCCTTCTCTTTGTAAATCTGATCTGCCTTTCCAATAAAAATAAATAAATCTTAAAAAAAAAGTCAGCCTGCACCTGCCGACAATGGTGGCTGAGGTAGGCACAGCGGCTCATGAACTTGAACCACACTGAGCACGCACAGTGACGCCCACAGCCCCACGGCCGGCAGTTCTCCACGCAGAGACCCCGCACTCCGAGGTCCTTCCTGGTCCCGGGTCCCGGCCCTTGGCTGTGCAGTATCACTTCTTCTCTCTCCCCACCCCCTGCTCTCCCCTGTACCAGCCATCCAGATCATTTTCAAGTTTCTCAGATTCGTGGAGCAGTTTCCCACCGCAGGCCCTTACCCGGGCTATCTCACCTCGAAAGCTTCCTCTGCCTTTGCCCAGACCTTCACCCTGGAGGTCTCCCCTGTTCCCTCAGGGCATGTCCACAGTAACATGGTGTCCCGTGCTCCCTGTGCCCAGGGCACTCTCCTGGCTTGTCAGAGCATTGCTGCAGCCACGTTTAAAAACTCTTTGATCACTTTGCATTCTCAAAAAAGAAAAAAAAAATCTTTGTGAAGGGTTGGCACCACAGCATAGCTAGCTAATCCTGCACCTGAGCTAAGGCACCGGGATCCCATATGACGTAGAAGAGGCTCCTGGCTTTGGATTGTCTCAGTTCTGGCTAATGCGGCCACCTGGGGAGTGAATCAATGGAAGATCTTCTCTGTTTCTCCTCCTCTCTGTAAATCTGCCTTTTCAATACAAATAAATAAATCTTTAATTAAAACAATTGTGTGGGGACCTGGAGATTGGATCTACAAAGGCCAGCATCTCCCACTGGAACAGACAGGCTGGTCCTTTCTGATGTTCTAGACCAGCCCGATGTTCTAGACCGGCCTGTGGTGGCCTAAGCCACAATGGACGGGTGCACCTGCCTTGTGTGGAAACCTCGACACTCAGAATGTGCCAGGAGCTACGTCTCTTACGGCCATGTGAACCTAGCGAGGGGACACTGCTGGTCGACCTGGGAACACACAAGGACTCTCTCTGTTCACCGTCTCTAGCAGGCAGGGCAGCAGATTTGTGGGAAGCCTGCCACAGCTGGCAGTGGATGGTGGCCTGGGCCATGGGGCTACCATCTTTAAAAAAAGAAAAAGAAAGAAAAAGAAAATTGCCCTCTCTCCTTTGCCTTTCAAATAAAATAATACACCCTTCCCAAGCACATGGCTGCCATATGGGTGCTGGTTCCTGCCCAGCTGCTCCACTTCCATCCAGCTCCCTGCTAGCAGACCCCTGGCTCCTGGCTTCAGATCAGCTCAGCTCTGGCCCTTGTGGCCGCTGGGGAGTGAACCAGTGGACCAAAGATCTTCCTTTCTGTCTCTCTTCTTTTTGTAAATCTGACTTTCTAATAAAATAAATAAATAAGCACATAAATAAAATAAAAAAATAAACATGGAGAGATAAAACACCAAGAATCCCCAGGGACTCGGTGAGGCGTGAGGACCGGCATGGTAACAACCCTGAGGACACGTCAGGGCTGCTCATGTTCCAAACTGCACTGTCATGTAAATCTTTTTTTTTAAAAAGATTGTATTTATTTTTATTGCAAAGTCAGATATATAAAAACAAGGAAGAGACAGAGAGAAATATCTTCTGTCCAATGATTCACTCCACAAGTGACCACGATGGCCAGTGCTGCGCTAATCTGAAGCCAGCAGCCAGGAGCTCTTCAGGGTCTCCCACGTGGGTGCAGGGTCCCAAGGCTTTGGGCCGTCCTCCACTGCTTTCTCAGGCCACAAACAGGGAGCTGGATGGGAAGTGGGGCTGCTGGGATTAGAACTGGCACCCATATGAGATCCTGGCACGTTCAAGGCAAGGACTTTAGCCACTAGGCCACCACACCGGGCCCATCATGTAAATCTTTGTAAAGCCAGAGTCGATCAAAATTTCAAAAATACAAAAACAAAACAAGACAAAGAGATGAGAGTAAAGTAGAACAGGGCAGGGGCTGGTGCTGCAGCAGGGGGTTAAGCTGTTGCCTGCAATGCTAACATCGCACATGGAAGTACTGGTTCAAGTCCCAACTGCTTCCCTTCTGATTCAACTCCCTGATCATACGCCTGGGAAAGCAGCAGATGACGGTCCAAGCAATTGGGTCCCTGCTACCCACATGGGAGACCCAGATGATGCTCCTGGCTTCAGCCCCTGTCCGGTCCTGGCTGTCCTGGCTTCCAGCACTCCCAATGAAGCACTCCCTGGGAGGCAGGGGGTGACAGCCCCTAGCTGTTCCTGCTACCTGCAGAAGCAATCCAGACCGAGTTCCGACCCCCGGCTCTGACCCCAGCCCCGGCTCTGGGCTCTGGCTCCGGCCCTGACTCTGGCCCGGCTCTGCCCCAGCCCCGGCTCTGGGCTCTGGCTCCGGCCCTGACTCTGGCCCCGGCTCTGGCCCCAGCTCTGGCTCTGGACCTGACTCTGGCCCCGGCTCTGGCCCCAGCTCTGGTCCTGGCCCCGGCCCCGGCCCTGACTCTGGCCCGGCTCTGGCTCTGGCCCCAGCCCTGACTCTGGCCCGGCTCTGGCTCTGGCCCTAGCTCTGGCCCTGGCTCTGGCCCCTGGCCCTGACTCCGGCCCTGCTCTGGCCCCTGGCCCTGGCCCCTGGCCCTGGCCCCGGCTCTGGCTCCAGCTCTGGCTCTGGCTTTGGCCCTGGCCCCGGCTCTGGCTCTGGCCCCGGCCCTGGCTTTGGCTCTGGCCCCGGCCCTGGCTCCGGCCCTGCTCTGGCCCCAGCCCTGGCTTTGGCTCTGGCTCTGGCCCCCGCTCCAGCCCAGCGACTGCTGCTGTGAACCTCCAAGGAGTGAATCACAGGCAGGCGCGCTTCACAGATTTTGTTAAAAAAAAAAAAAAAGGAGAGGGTGGGTATTGTGGCACAGCAGCTGAAACTGAATACAATGCTGGCATCCCACAAGAGCACAGGTTTGAGTCCCCAGCTGCTCCGCTTCCTGTCCAGCTCCTTGCTAAGGCATCTGGGAAAGCAGCAGAGGATGGGCCAGGGGCCTGGACTTCCGCTACTACCCACGCGGGGACCTGCATGGAGCTTCGGGCTCCTGGGTTTGGCCCAGCCCAGCCCTAGCTGTCGTAGCCCTTTGGGAAAGGAGTCAGTGGACAGAAGACCCTTTGCTTTCAAATAAGCAAACAGGAGGAGCAGATTCACTGTGATGATCAGCCAGGGTGTCACTCCGCACTCCCACGGGGTGCCGGTATGGAGGCGAAAGCTTAGCTGTGCCCCAACACCAGCCCGTACATCCGTCCTTCACACTGCAGGGCCGTGGCATCTCCAGGAAGACCACGCGGAGCAGCAGTTACTCCCAAACACCCGTGGGAGGAGGGGCTGCCACAGGGAGCTCTCTCTGAGCCATTTCCACACTCATCAACTGGGATGGTCATGAACTCCCTAATCAGATGGACCAGATCAAGTGTCACACAGCCAGGAAGCCTGTGAAATGGAAGCTGTGATGATTCGTTAATGAACTACCCTCCAGTGGACACAGAGCTCCCAGCAGGCGGCCCTGGCGCCCTGCCCTGGAGGCACTGGGTCGCTTCAGGGCTCTAGGGGACAGGGCCACAGATGGGTGCTTCCCCCACCCTAGGGCAGCCAGAGTGGAGGACCTGCTGGGCCTAGGAGGTGCCCTGGGGACTCCCCTCTCACTAACTTCTGATGAGGGGCTTCAGGAAGGGCTAAGCCTGCCCCTCAGGGGGGCCAATCAGAATAGCAAAAGAGGCTACAAGTGTTCCTTGGGCCACCAAGGTGGGTTTGGGGATGTGAGCAAAGAGGGCCACAGCGATTCAGCCTGGGAACCAGACGGAAACTTCCTGAAAGACACAGGATCCCCATGCCTGAGTCTTGCAGATGCCTGCAGCTGTGAACCATGGGAGAACGGGGGCATGCCCGCTCTGCGGGTCACTGATTTAGTCCTATCAGCCAGGGCAGCTCCTGGCTCAGGGCAAGCGCTCAGGGAAGATCTGCTGAGTGAGCCACACAGCTTCCCACAGGGCAGACGCCTGCATCCGGCCAGCTGGCACAGTGGAGGGTGGTGAGCAGAGACGACTCCCTGGGGGCTATGAAGCTTCAGGGGAAGCAGTGGACAGAGGTCTGGGGCGTGACACACTCTAGAGCCAGGGCTGGGGCTGCTTGGCAAGGCCTGCTGCACCAGCATCCCATAGCAGCACTGTGAAATCCCCAGGCACTGCGCTTCCCATCCAGCTCCCTGCTAAGGAACCTGGGCTCCTGGGGGCTTGGATCTGTGCGGTCCATGTGGAAGACCAGATGGGGTTTCAGACTCCTGGACCAGCCTTGGCCAATGCAGCCATTTGGGGAGGAACCAGCAGATGGCCAACTTCTCTCCCCACCTCTCTGCAACTCTGCCTTTCTTAGCACGCGGGTGGGGGAGGCGGGGATGGGGGTTGGGGACGGAGGCTCACAGTCCCAGGCGTGCAGGCACTAAGGGGCTCCTTTAGGGCTGGCAGGACCTGAAGGTGTCCAAGGCGGGTGACCCTGTGTACCGCCAGGGGCTGGGCCTGGGATGGCACCGCCCAGCACTGTAAGAGTCCCTTGGGGGGTGTGGCCGGGTCAGGACAGATCAATACAGGCAGAGATGGGCTCTGCCACCTTAGTAGTGCTGTGAGTGTCCATTAGCTCCGTCCTCCTGGGCTCCACCAGAGATGAGGGGCTGACCCCTACACCCCACCTGCCCCCGCCATCGAGGGTGAGCAGGGCGCCTGCCCCGGATTGCTGGCTTAAACCCACTGCCCTGTGGCTTCACTACTTAACTCTTCCCCTGCAACCTTTTTGCAGTCCCCGCCTACAAGGTCACAGCGCCCCCTGCCGGCCCCAACTGCTGGGACACAGGGACGGCTGAGACACTACAACTGGGAGCCGCCGATCACAAAGCTGACAAAGCCCCAAACAAACGCCCTTTTAGGGTCTAAGATTTATTGGCTGCGTGTTCAGACACTCACAGAGGAACACAAACTGACAGCTGGGTGAGGCGTGGGGCGAACTCAGCTGCAAAAGCGTCGACTCTAGTGCCTTCTGTCCGTTTGGTGAATTGCTTGTAGCTGTGGGCTCTGGGAGTGTTAATACCGTCTTAAAGCTGCAAATCAGGCTGCCTCACGTTGGGGGCTTCTTTATAAGACTCCTCAAATGCCCACAATGGTCGGCGGGAGCGCTGAGTTACAACAAAGCCAGGAGCCAGGAATTCAACCTGGATCAGGCACAGGGAAGGCTGGGTCCCAAGTGCATGAGCAGGCAGCTCAGGAGAATCCAAATGCCCACCCCCTATATGCGCTTAAATGCTCACACTACGTACACCCTGCGCATAATACGCTATCCATGACTGCTAAATACCAGCACTCATGCACACACACACACACACACACACACACACACACACACACACACAGCCGGGTCCTGATAGGGACATAATAAACCCTAAAGCTGGAGACCGACTGTCACACAGCATGCTCACGGGCCACTCCAGTTATAAATAGACTCGGGGGCAGTGACTGACAGCAGCAGGGCACGTGAGTCCCTCCCCGAAGACCGCTGGCCCCGGCCAAGGTGGCAGGGACCTGGTTGTCACCTCAGGAGCCCCCAGAGCTCGCGGGCCCACCGGGTTCACCCCTAGCCATCCGCATGGCAGCAGGGCTTCCCTTCACCCCTCTGCTACTCTGTCAGTTATGGCTTCGGCTGTTTCTAAAACAGATACTGGGCTCTTTCTCCACCTTCCAGTGATTTTTTTTTAAAAAGATTTATTTATTTTGATTGGAAAGGCAGATATACAGAGAGGGGGAGAGACAGAGAGGAAGATCTTCCGTCCAATAATTCACTCCCCAAGTGAGAGCAACAGCCAGTGCTGAGCCAATCCAAAGCCAAGAGCCAGGAGCTTCCCCAGGTCTCCCATGTGGGTGCAGGGTCCCAAGGCTTTGGGCCAGCCTCGACTGTTTTCCCAGGCCACAGACAGGGAGCTGGATGGGAAGTGGATCCGCTGGGATTAGAACCGGCGCCCATATAGGATCCCGGCAGGAGCAAGGCGAGGACTTTAGCCTTTAGGCTACTACACTGTCCCCCACCCACGAAGCCGGGAGTGGAATGTGAGGTGCACACGCAGAGCGGGGGTTCGATGTATTTATGCTTTCCAACACTAATGCCCGGTTGTGCTGTGCTGCCACGGGGGCAGTGGGCCCATGGCTCACTGGGCACTGCCCAGGGGGAGGCCAGTTTTACTGCTGTCAAACAAAGCCTACAGTGGTCAGGGCAGTCCCAAACCCAGACCCAAGACTACCTGCTCCATGTAGGCTGAGGCACAGCCTCTGGTCTTCTGAGTGCTGCCCTCGTACAATGTCCCCATCTTTGGAGTGTCCAGGAGGTGGCTCTGACCACAGAAAAGGGACAAGGAAGTGGAGCAGTCCCTGGTCAGCTGGCCTCTGGCCTGTGACTTCTGCCTGTGCCTTCATGGAAATCTCTCCAAGTAACTGGGAGAAAGGGTCAGTTCTTGCGGATCCGGTCACCACAGCGGCCCTGTCACAGCTCCACAAGCTCGGAGGAGGGTCTCGACTGTGGACGCAACTGTTGTGTGGCCGAAGGAAACTGACCCAGCCCCATGTGACCCCCAGCCAGGCCCTGGCCACACCGGCCCAGCCCACCCTGGCTCCAAGAGGCAGGTGCTGGCCACCCACTGCCAAGAACAAGGTCAGAGCTCCTCGCCAGGGTCTCAGCATTAGCAAGAGGTCCCAGGTGCCACCACAGGTAAACATGGGGACCCCCCCCCCGGGGAGACATCCTCAGCCACCCAGCAGTGGGTGAACCGTCCACAGTGACTCCAACAATAGGAAGGGCTCAAAGCCCAGGGGCCAGGGGCAGCGTCCCGAACAGTACGAAGGGCTAGAGGGTCAGGAGTCCAGACTGTGGGGGCAGGGGGTTCAGGAAACAGCGTCCCCTTCATGTCACGTGGCCGTGACCTCAAACTAGAGGGCCCAATGGCAGACATACTGTGGGGCATGGGGGTTGACGAGGGACTGGGCATGTCTCCATGAACTTTCTCTGAGATCCTCCGAGGCTACCCAAGGACCAGGAACATCCTCCCTGGAATTCTGTATGTTGGGGACAGTGCCAAGTGTCAGTGGAGGAAGAAACTAGAATTTTCCATCTGGTCCAGATGGGCGAAGGCCAAGCCACCTCCGGCAATCACTCGCGGTCCAGCCCGCCTAAGCGTCCCCCTCCTCTCTTATCTTCCCGTGTTTACTTCTCCACAGGTAGTGGATGACTGATAACGAACATGACATCACCGCTTCCTGGTGTGTGTCACGGGGTGGGGGTGCAAGCCCCTGGCAGCCCTGGTGAGCCACAGCTGGCCAACAGGGAGAAGCTGGTGTGCTACCTGCTCTGCTGTTGAGCGTCTGATTCCCCGTCACCACCAAGACAGAAGGCTCTTGAAGTCCCTCCGGGGCATCCATCCTACCCATCCACCCACCCAAGTACAACTGGCCGCAAAAACGTGCACGGTCCCAGAACTTGCAGTGTCCTCCGGGAGACCTGCTGGCAGAGCAGTGCTTAGAGAGCACCCAGCCTGGCACAAACCAGGAGGAAGCAGAGGCTGGCAGGGCTGGAGGGGCGCCCAACATGGCTGGACTGGCAGGGAAGAGGCCACAACTCCAAGTCTAAACTGTCACGTGAGGACGGGGCCCAGCAAGGGCAGGCCAAGATGGACCGGGAGCTGACCAGGCCCGGGGGTCCATCCCGGCCCCTCGGGATCCCAGTGGGAAGTCTCCCTCTGCCTAGAACCCCATGGCACGGCCATGCAGGGTCAGGGTCAGAGGAGGGGTTCCCCTTCTTTGAGGCTGCAGTGTGCACCACCTTTTTCCAAAGCTGCTCACTCTCCTTGGTGTCGTTTTGTTTTGGTCTTCCTGACCCCGGGACCCCCAGCACCTTTGACCTGGGGGAGCTCCCACCATCCTGACCACTGTGATTTGGCACAGTCAGGAGGGTTTCTGCCGGTGTGGGGATGAGTGGGGAGTGCACGAATGGCCTATGGAAGACACGAAGAACATACAGCCCGGTTCTAATTCCCTTTGGCCGAGACCCTCCGGGACACGGGCCTGGATCTCAAACGTCACCCACCAGCCTCGCGCCTTCACCCGTGTCCCTCGCCCAACATCAAGGTTCCAAGTGGGTGCCATAGACGCCCTTCTCACCTCCCCGGGCAGGAGGGAAGCAGAGCTTCCATCCCGGAACTGCCCAAGGACGCCTTGGCAAAGACTGACCGGTCCCTCCTCAGTTCCGCCCCTAGTCCATTGAGCCATTTAGCCCGGTAAGCCCCACCCAAATTACTTCTATCTCCCACACTATTGGCTCGCGCCGACGTCAATCCTCCAGGAGCTCTCTTCTATAGGCTAAGGACTCCAACTCCCGCCGCGGCGCCTCGCTCCGCCCCCTCACCACACGCCTGCCCTCACTATTGGCTGACCCGCATGCCCCTCTGCCAGCAGCCCTCCCTATTGGCTACCCAAGATTTTTGCCGGTGCGGGCTGTAATTGGTCGTGGACACATGTCCGTCCCCTCGGCAACCACCTGCGAGGGGTCGGAGAAGGGACGTGGGGTCGGACTCACGCTGAGCCGGAGGGAGGCAGATGTAGGTCTTGAAGAACTCGCTGCGGCGGGCGGCCTCCTTAATGCGGTTGGCCAGCGGCTTGCTGACCTGCCGGATGCCCAGGTAGAGCAGCTTCGCCATGGGGAACGCGCCCACCACCATCTTGGCGGCCGCACTGGGCACGCGCAGCCCGGCTGACTGTGGGCGGGGCGCCGCTGCTCCCCCGCCCGCTCGCGCGGCCGTGCGTGCCTGCGTCCGTGCGTCAGCACGCCCGAGGGGGCGTGAGCGTGCCCTGACGCCGTCGCTGCGTCGACGACGTCCGCTCGTTGAAGAGGGTGGGTGGGAGGTGCCGTTCAACGGCCGCTCCGGCGTGACGTCACCGCGGCGTGACGTCACGCCCCAGGAAGCGCGCTGCGTTTGTCCTAATTAGGTGTTAGGGAGAAGGTTCCCTGGGAACTGGCAGGTGTTGGGGCCCTGGACCAGGGTTCCGCTTCATCCTGCCCTTTCCCGGGTCATGCAGGCCGGATAGGGGCTGCGAGCGGGCACAGGCTTCTGGGGTCTGCAGAACTGCATGAAGCAGCCTTGGGACCTATAAAACCCGACCGTCCTCCAACCCCAAATCCAGCTTCCTCCACTGCGGGGTGTATGGGGAGGTAGTGAGGGTCCCCAGGGAGCTGGCCCAGGATGGAGCTGAAGAACATGGCCCAGAGTGGCCCAGCAGGGAGCAAGATCTTGTAAACAGGGTCAGCGAGGGGTTGAGAGCTGAGGGACAGGCAGGCGGAGAGCCGGGCCGGGTGCAGGAGGAACAAAGGCACATCTCCCCGTGTTGGAGGCGGGGGACCCCACGCCTTCCTTGGCATCCATGCACTGCACCCCCTGTGGATCCTTTGCCCAGGTCCCTGGCACTGGCGAACCTGCCTCCTGTGGTGCTGGGTTGTCTGTTGAGCCCTGATCGGGGGTACTACATAAGCCTAGGGATCGAAGACCTAATGAGGTGACCCAGGGCATGAGCCCAAAGTGTGGTTTCCTTGGAGCCTAGAACAGAGCCTGGCACCGACTGCTATTGAATGAATGGGAAGGTGCATGTGGTGGGGGTAATGCCTGGTCCTCCACAGGGGCTGTGTCCACTGCACCTTAGCCCCTTGCATCTGCATCCTGGTCGCTTTGGGGCCTGGTGGGAAGCCTCCCAGGTCTCTGCCTCCCTCTCTTCTCTGACTGCCCCTCTCCTCCCCCCACCCCGTCCCCGCCAGGCACCAAAGCTCTGGCTTCCTGCATCTCGCTGCTTCCTCACGCCCTTGCCCGTCCCCCCCCCCTTCTCTTCCGAGTGTGGGTTTTTCCATCCACTGAGAGGGACTCTTGTGCAGTCAGGGTGTGCATAGTCTGGGCATCTTCCCCGCCCAGGGGGAGCCATCCTTGAGTACCTGCCCTTATAGGAGGGGAGAGTTGTGGCAGGAGACCTGACCGGAGCTGAAACTCCTGCTGCCGTCGAGCCAGCCCAAGGGACTGACATCATCGGGGCCATTGCTGGTGATCCCCCTGCCCCAACAGGCCAGGGGAAGGGATCCCGGGCCATCCCCAGGGGCGTGGGAACTGAGGCAGAGCTGGAGAGAGGAGAAGCAGGCCGGGCCAGCTGCGGTGCTGACTCACAGGCCAGCCCAGTGGCCAGCCCCGCTCAGGGGCCTGGAGTCACGGCCTTGCCCTAGGCCCATGGGCTCCGTCCATACCAGGAGCCCTTCCCGAGAAACCTATCCTGGGATGTGGGAGGTTGTAGCTGCTTCTTGCCCCATTCCACCCCACCCCTGGGCCCCAGCCAGGATCTGTGCAAGTTAAGTTGAACTTGCTGCACATTGGGCTTCCAGCTTCTGCCCTCGCCTCCCCTCATCGACTCCCCAGGTGGCAGCCCGCAGGATCCGTCCATATGTAGGTCACATCGTTTCTGTTCTGGGCCTCCCATTTTTCTCAGAGCTGACTCTCCCCCATGCCTGTTCCCTCTGCTGACCTCCCTCCACCTTCAGGTCTCACCTCCCCAGAGTCCTCCTCATTCCTCCAGGTCACTTTGTGTCCCCCTCAACTGGTTTACCACTCCCCTTAACATTGAACAATTCCAAACATCTATTTATTTATTTCTTTTACTCGCCCATCCTGAGCCACAGAGGGCAGGCCCAGCACCCAGGGTCCCCAGCACCACCCTTGCCCTTCATGGAATTGTCAATCCACTTGGTTTTGTTTCCTTCAGTGGGGGGAGTGGGGGCTGCCCTGCTCACCCCTCCTCCAGGCAGTCTGCCTGGATTATCTAAACCCAGGCTCCCCTCCTTTCATCCTGGTCCCTCCCAAAGAGAGGGCAGCAGAGCTTGACACACACCACAACTCGGCAGTCACCCACTGGTCTCTGTAATCAACCGATAGGCAACCGTCACTGCTCAGGGGCCGGGGAAGGGGGGCGGTGCTTTCCCACGTAGGCAGGGGCGCAGCCTGGGCTGTCTCGAGCTGCAACATGGATTGGAGCTGCTGCCAGAAAACCAAGTCTGGCTTCTCCCTGGGACGACCGCCTTCAGCGCTCTGCAGCCCCCTCTCCCTGGACGGCACAGATTTGCGGCCCCTTGTGGGGACTTTGTCCTCCCTTGGTCTTTATCTCCTGGCAATCACATGGACTTTGGTGTTTGGGTCAATTTCCTGTTAGCCTCTTCCGGGGAACCCACCACCACCACCACTCCCACCCAGACCCTAACCGGGGCCCTGCAGCTCCTGTGGGACAGGCCCAGGGCTGTGGGCTGGCCTTGGTGGAAGAAGCCAGTTGACCAGTAGCATACCAACCCGTTCTCCTGGCGTTCTTATGAATATGCACACCGTCTTATTTACATACAATTTGCATCAGCAGGCAGGGAGGGTCAGGGGTGATGGTGTTGGTGGTGGAGTAAGGGAGGCTGATTTGCCCCAGGTGCAGTTCACTTGGGCAGCAGCGGTGGCGCTAGCATCTTCAGCTGCACCTGCTCCCCGGGGGTGGGTGGTGTGGCAACCCAGCCAGCCGCCGCTGCTCCTGCCGCGCTGCCCTTCCTCTTGGAGGTGAGTGGGGTCTCCAGGGTGAGAGAAGCCGTGGCCATCTCCTGGGGCTTGTCACTGGCCAGGAATCGCAACAGGTCGTGTAGCGCCTGGGCCACGTCGCCTCGGGCACCCTCGTTGACCAGGCAGTAGAGGATGGGGTCAGCGACACAGTTGAGGCTGGTGAAAGCCAGCGAGCTGTGATAGGCGGCGAAGACGCGCTCCTCGAAGCCACAGTCCCAGGGGCGGCCCAGGTAGACAGCGCTGCGCAAGAGCAGCAGGACGTGGTAGGGCGCAAAGCAGACCAGCACGATGGCGATGAGGCCCAGCGCCAGCCGCTTGATCCGGACCTTCTCCCGGCGCTCGGTGGACACGCTGGCCCGCACGGCCCGCAGGATGCCGCGGTAGGAGAGCAGCATGAGCGCCCACGGGAAGAGGAAGCCGGCGAAGACGCGGTAGAGATTCATCCAGGCCACCCAGCCTTCCATAGGGAACTTCTCGAAGCAGAAGGTGTGGTTGTAGCGGTCGCGGAAGAGCTCGTCATGGAACAGGGGCGCCGAGTTGGCGCCCAGCTCTGTGGCCCAGACCACGGAGCTCACGGCCACGGCTGTCTTAACGCGGCGCAGGCGCGCAAAGCGCAGCGGGTGGGCCACGGCCAGGTAGCGGTCCACGGAGATGCAGCAAAGGAAAGCGATGCTGATATAGATGTTGGTGTAGAAGACGAAGCCGAAGAGCTTGCAGGAGCTGGGGCCGTGGATCCAGTTGTCGTGGTGCAGGAAGTAGTCGACCCAGAGCGGCAGTGTGCAGATGTAGAGGAGGTCGGCGACGCTCAGGTTCATCAGATAGACGCCCAGCTCGTTGCGTTGGCGCACCTGGCGGTAGGCCGCCCACAGTGCCAGGCAGTTGGTGGGCAGCCCCACGCCGATGACAAAGATGTAGAGGGACGGGGGAAAGAGGTGGTCCACGCGCGAGTCCACGTGGCAGCCGTCCCACGTGCGGTTGCCCATCCCGGGCGCGGCTTTCCAGGCGTCCCCCCTGACCCACAGGGGCTGCAGGGCCACGGGGGGCGGGAGGCCATCGGAGCACACCCCCCAAGCCCCCTCCTCGGAGGCTCAGGGGAACGGCAAGGGGGGCCAAGGGGCGAGGCAGAGGCCGAGGGGTGGGGGATCAATAAAGGGGTCTGTCAAGGAGTTTCTAGACCCTAACCAGGGATTATGGGGGAGTCCTCACAAAAGCTGGCCTCAGCGGGTGGTGGTGCTGATACGGGAGATGACTGTGGACGACCTGGAAAGTCACAGTGGGGCAGTGTATAGTGAGGTGCAAGTGGTGCGGAGTGTTCTAGAAGGCAAAGGAGACCCACAGGACAGTGCAGTCAGGGAGAGCTGGAGAGACCAGGGTGACATTTCCTAGGATGCCATGCAGGAAGTGAGGAGCAGTGGGAGAAAGGAGGTGTTCCCTCTCCCGGAAAAGGGGATATGTGTAAAAGGGAGGGGTTCTCAGGAGACAGGCTGCGGGGGACAAGAAGAATGAGGTCAGAGGTGGAGGGATGGAGGGGGCAGGAGACCGACTCTGGCTTGGTCCTGGTGCCGTCCAAGGGACTGGGAGGGGAAATGGCTCCCAACCCAACACCAAGTTCAAGGCTGACCGGCAGCAGTGCCTGTGGGGGAGGAGAGAGGACAGCGTGAGGATGTGTGGACACACCATCCCAGCCCCCTTGGGTGTCTGTCCCAACCGCACAGCTCAGAGGACAGCCTGGGAGAGGGGTCACCTCCTCCAGACAGATGCTAAGATCAAGACGGTGGCAGGGTGGGAGAGGCGGGGGACAGGGCTCAGCAAGGTGGATTGGGCCCACCCCCACCCCAGACCTGGGACACACAGCAAGGCAGCGGGCTGGGACGAGCCAGCTGCCCCCACGCGGCATGTAGAACAGCCTTATCCTGTCAGTTGATGTGCAATAAGTGTTCCCCATCCTCAGTGCTTGCCCTGGGCATCACCACATGGACCTCACCTAGGGGGGCTGTGCTCCACCCCGGCCAACTGAGGTGCAGAGTGGCCTGAGACCTGTCCAGGGTTCTGGGGACGGAGGGGACAGCTCCGGCCCTGTCAGCTCTCTCCTCCGGCCACTGCTTCAGTTCCAACAAGGGCTGGACACAGAGAGGCCGGGAAGGGGCTGCTGGGCTCAGTCCAAGGCAAAGCGGGGACACCCCTCCTCCTCCAACCTCACAGGGAACCATGGCCTGTGTGACCCCTGGCTCAGGGGAGAGCAGCAAGCAGGACCCAGAACCTGGCCATGGTCAGGGGTGCAAGACCCTTGTCACAGGCACCGGCCATGTCATTCTGCCGGGGTCTGCACGTGTTTGGGTGCGGGGTCCCGAGGCTTTGGGCCATCCTTGACTGTTTTCCCAGGCCACAAGCAGGGAGCTGGATGGGAAGTGGAGCCGCTGGGACACAAACCTGGGTGGCATCGCATACTGGCACTGGTCCTTAGTCCCAGCCCAAAACCCTGGGACTCTGCACCCGCATGGGAGACTCAAAGAAATGTCCTGACTCCTGGCTCCTGGCTCTGTATCGGCTCAGCTCCGGCTGTTGCGGCCGCTTGGGGAATGAACCAGCAGATAGAAGTTATTTCTGTCCTTGTGTCTGTAAATCTGAGTCTCCAATAAAATGGCTAAAAAGAAAGTCACAGAGAGAGGAGAGGCAGAAATCTGTTTCTTTGGTTCACTTTCCAAATAGCCGCGACAGCTGAGGCTAGGGGAGACCTAAGCCACGCCAGGAGCTTCTTGAGGGTCTCCCACATGCGTGCAGGAGGGGTCCTTGCACTTGAGCAGTCCTCTGCTGCCTTCCCCAAGTATGACAGCAGAGAGCTGGGCTAGAAGTGGAGCAGCCGGGACTTGAACCAGTGTTCAGATGGGATGCTGGCACTGCAGACAGCAGCTAAACTTATGGCACCACAGCGCTAGCCCCTCCTTTTCTCTTTTTTTTTTTTAAATAAGATCTTAATTGGAAACTCAGTGTGAGGCAGTGAGAAGGGGGAAGCGCTCCATACTCTGAGGATGCGGTGGGGGAAGGTGGAACTGGAGAGCTCGGAGTGCCTGGTTCTATTCCCAGTTGCGCTCTCCATCCTGGTTCCTGCTAATGTGCATCTGAGGCAGCAGGCGATGGCCCAAGTGCTTGGGCCCCTGCTGTCCTTGTAGGAGGCCCCGACGGAGTTCCAGACCCCTGGCTTTGGCCTGGTCCCAGCCCTGGCTGTTGCATCCCCATGTGGTGGATGGACCAATGCATGCAAGAACCCTATTTCTCCCTTCTTAGTTGCTCCACCCTTCAAACAGATCTCTTTCTGAATAAATAAATGGATAACCCTTGGCCTGGGCGGGCTTCCTCCTCTACTTCCTCAGCCCCTCCCTGTCCATCCAGAACGGGCGAGTCTCCTGGGCAACAACATCTTCAGTATACAGGAGGTGCTCAATAAATGACCAGGCACAGACGCCTCCATGACACTTCCCAGAAACCCAGAGCCAGGAGCACCCCCTGGGCAGCCCATTCCCGACTCACTCTACACCAAGGCTGTAACCCCCCACCCCCGCCAAGTCAGGCTCAATCCAGTCCTCATGGCCGCCCCAAGGGAAATGGCAGGCAGGATATGCCGGCGTCACAATCCCGGTGAAAGCTTATGGTGGGTGCACTCACCACCCCCCCACCCAGTGGGGTCCTCAGAGCTGCGGCCACGCCCCACGCCCCACCCCCCACCCCCACACCACTGCAGTGTCTGGGAGGGGCACCTACTGCAACTGGACAGCAAGATCTTGCCCTTCTCTCTGGGGTCTCTGTTCCCCTCACCCCCACTCTTTCTCTGCCTCTTGGTCTTCCCCCTCCTTCCTTCAGGGAGGCGAAGAGACCCTCAGGGGACCGGTTCCCCTTCAGTGAGCCGAGCACAGCACAGCAGAGAAAAGCCCCAGTGAGTGGCCCGTGCAGTGTCCGGGCAGCCAGCAGATCCGGGAGCTCCCGTCTAGCTCATGTGGTGGGGAAGCTGGAGGGGCCCCTTCTCTATCCCCACACCTGCATCTCTGTCTGTCTCCTGAGCGTGGCCCAGGCTGGAGCAGGTGCGCAAAGGGCAGGAAACTGGTGTTACTTCCCACTGCTAACTTCCTCCACGGCAACCACAGCATGGCCTCGCCCCTTCCTCTTCACCCTCCTCCCCCTCCCCTAATGCACCTACTGCTTACAGATGCTGGACATTGGAACCTGAGGCCCAGAGCTTCTTGACCAGGTCATGTCCAGGGACAGGGCAGGGCCCCTTGCTCCGTCTTCTCTCTCCCATTCTGGTTTCCCCGGGGTGGGGCGCTCCAAGCTCTGGGAGAAAGTGCTGGAGAAAACGGTTTCGCCACAACCAGTGGAAGCAACCCCGCGGACCCCCCCAGGCACCTCCAGATCTCGCCTAACCTTGCTAGCCGGCCCCCAGGGGGTCAGGACCTCTTCAGTTGGGAACAAAGCTAACTTCCTTTCTCAGCCTCTGGCAGGGTGAACCCCCAAGTCTCACACCTTACAGTTAGCTCTGCCTGTCCCACAGGCTCCTCCCATTCCCTCCCTGCCCCTGCATTGCCCTGCTGGCCCCATGCAGAGATAAAGCCCTCACGTGAGGCGATAGGATAGCAGGCACCAACAGACACGGCTCAGACCCCCGGCCTCTCTCACGGGCCCCAGCTGCCCGGGTTCAGATAAGTCTCCACACCCCTGGGAGGCCGGCCAACCACCCACCCAACCCCCAAATCCAGCAAGGCTAGGGACAAGTGATGCAGACCCCCACAGCCCCAGCTCTCACACTCTCTCACCGGCCTGTCGGGCGGTCCGCCCCTTCCCTCTGTGGGCTCCAGCCGCAGGCGGCCCCAGGGGACTGGCCAGCTCCGGTCTGCTCATTAGGGAACGAAATGTGATCACAGTGCCTTGCCTCGCTCCCCACCTGCTGTCCTGGCAGCCACGCAGCGGAAACCCGGGTGGGAGGGTTAGCCAGGCCACCCAACCGCCCTGCCCAGACTCAGTTTCCCCATTTTCTATGGATGGGGCAGCAAGGGGTGGGCTCCACTATTCCCCAATCCCCAGAAGGAAAACTTGGAGTCCTCAGCCCTCTCCTACATCTGCATCCTCCTGATGTTCTAGATTCCACGTTTTCAGATCCCCAAGTTCTATAGTTAGCCTGGTTCTACAGAACATTCTAGAACATTCTAGACCTTTATGTTCCTTCCATTCTATTATGAAGGCACCCCCCACTGGTCAGTGCCGGCCCTTCCCTCCGATGTGTTCAATACTCCAGGAGCCTTGCATTCCAGGATTCTCAAGTTCTATTGTTAGCACACTCTAGGATTTTTCTTTTTTTCAAACATGCTTTGACTTTTAGAATCTATTATTAAACCTCACCGATTTTTTATCTCGGCCCCACAAACGTGTGTTTCCCTTTTCCTACAGAAATAGGAGCACACGCTCCATGCCCCCCCAACCCTCCCCGCACCCCTGTTGGCTCTCCTGAGCCCTTCAAAGTCCCCCAGGCGTGGATTCACAGAGGCAGAGTGTGGTGCTGGGGACACAGCCTGGCACCCCCTGCCAACCTGGGCCTGAGAGCTCCCCCCACCACCTGGGGAGGGCACCTCAGGCACCCCGCCCGGCCTCTTCACCCTCTGCTCCTCCGGGTGCCTTGGCCCTCCCGGCTGACACCGGCTGAGTTATTATTTGTCTAGACACAAACCAAATTACAGGCCCTGTCCCTAGGGAGGGAACAGTGGGCTTGCAGGGCAGGGTCAGAGCCAAGGGGTAGGGGTTCACCCCTGTTTCCGCCCCCCCGCCCCCATATACCTTGCTCCCTCTCTTGCTCCCCACCCCAGCACCACCCAAGCTACAAGGTTTGGGAAATATTTTTCTCTCCTCAGCTCTCAAGCCCTCCCTTCTGGGTGCCAGCCAGGCACGCTCACCTCCCCTGGCACCCCTTGCCGCCTCACTGCACGAAGCCTCATGTTCCCCCCCCAACCCCCCCAAAAAAGATAATCCTCCTTAGCGGCGACACAGGAAGCCAGAGCTCTGGATTTAAGCTCCCCTGGAACTGCAGTGGGAGCCAGGCACCAACTCAGTCCAAGGGGACTTGTTCAGGACTCAGTTTCCCTTGGTTGAAGCCATGCAGGGGAGGGGCAGGCAGGCACACAGAGGGGTGCTGTGCTTCAGACAGTCCAGCAAGTCTCCAGGAGCTCTGAGCC